TTTCCAAGTTTTTGGCTTGATCTAGTATATCAAACCTTTTGAAGTCCAATGCAGATATTTTTGAGAAATATTTAAATCCTTTAATAAAGGAAAAATATATTAGTTTGCGTTTGTAGACGTTTTGTGAAAATTTCTTGGTTATCATAAAGCTTTAACTCCTTATTGTGAGTGAGTGAGAGATTATTAAGGTCTCGCGCACTCTTCATCTGCTTGTGGAGACGGACCTCAAATTTTGAACAATGGTCAAGTGACAAATATGATACCTAAGCTGCACCTAACTTTCACACCACACCAACGGGAGAACGTTTGAGCCTCGACTCGACATATTTAAAGTGCATCGGCCCTCTCTGCACGGCGGGGTTTCAGGGGTATAGATTTGAATTAAAGTCACAGTGGAGACGAGAGTCAATTATCTTGATCACTAGGCTACCGCGGTCACTTTAACTCCTTTGCATTATGCTTCCTTACTTATTAATAAAATATCATGCTGTATTAATTAATAACAGAGTACTACAATTTATCTAAAGAATAGTTAAAATGATAATTTCTTAAAAATTTTATTATTTGATTTATTTTTGTTTTAACATATATTTTTTTTCACAAATAAGAAGCTTATTTTTTTTTATTTTTTAATCTCCCTAAATTTTTATTATTTCTATTTATTTTGTTTTAGCGTTTGAGTTTGGCAAACCATATCTATACTTATAACCTGTCTAATGGACTATTTATGTAAATTATATTCTGAGTAATTTAGATTTATGCCAGCGTTTCTCAAACTGTGAGGCGCACCCCCCTAGGGCGAGGGGGGCATGAGCATATTGAAAAGTCACAAACAAACGATTATTTTAAAAAATTTAATTTGCTGAAAGTAAACAAATAAAATACATTCTGACATAATAAAAAATAAAATACACATTTATACTGATGTAATAAGTTTATAAATGTATCAGTACTGCAAAATATATTTTATAATTAATTTAACAATACTATAAAAAGAAGTTTAACAATTGCCAGTGACCCCATGGGCTTATCATATATAAAATTTATATACAAAAATTATAACACTTATTTTTATAATTTGTACGGTTTGTAAAAAATCCCTTAACTGCCGATAAAAAGTTACTCGATTCGCTCCTCAATGCCACCGTTTTCTACTTAGGCACACGACGTACGTTATGTATTGAGGAAGAAGGTAAAGGAATATATAAGAAAATCCTCTGAAATAAGTGAATTCTTCGGAAATAGTACTAAAGTTCTTTTATTGCACTCCAAAGCCTTGTAAGAGGTTATCACACCTCCCTTGGGCACTTAGATGTGGTAGGTAAGAAACACTCGCCATGATCCTATCGATCTATTTATTTATCACAGAATAAAACGACAGAAATTCAGTTAATAATAGTAAGATAACGTCTCAGTGCTAACCGCGAAAGTGGAACAACGACGGTAATGCATGAAATATTAGGAACCTATCAAAATCGATCCTTACTTTATAAAAGATCTAATCTATCATCCGATTTAATCTAATATCAATTTAATGTCAGTGAACAATCGTCACTTTAAAGCTTCCTCCTAATAAGTCTTTAATCCCAATAATTCAAATATGATACCTGTCAGTAACAATGGGACCTAAATCGGGCTTATCTCCTCTCCTACTCTTTATTCTAGATAGAAAACTTCGACTATATATAGTAAGTTAATTTGAATATCACGATTTTCTTCTTCCGAAAAGTTGGTTGTGAATAACGCGAATTGATAGCCCAAAGATTTCCCAAGAGGATAAGTTGACGGATCGCGGATAGATCCGTCACTACCTTCAGAATAATTTTATAGATAGCAATGCACAGAAAAGGTCGTACTTCAGAAAAACGTATATGTACGTCTGGAGCAATCAACTTTTTGGATGAGCGAGACTTTTATATATGCCGATGACACTTAATAGGCTTAAGTCGTATTGTAACTTTAGTGTGAAAGCTTAGTATTATTGAATTCAATACATTGTTATTGTAAGGTAGGGGGGCGTGATGAAAATAATGATTGGATATTGGGTCGCAGATATTGAAAGTTTGAGAAGCACTGATTTGTGCCATCGTATCCAAATGTTATGCCTGAAAAGCCAGTAACAGTTAAAACTCTTTTATCGATCGTATTTGTAACGTTGTCGCGCTACTGAAAAGTTTTTTCTTTATTTTTTTTTCTTTGGGAGATAAAAATTCAGCCATTCCGGATAAATTTATGTGTATGAAAAAAAAAGTATAAAAATTGAAATATCTCTAGGTTTTTTTTTCACTACTACGAATTCAAAAGGTTAATGTATTTTCTCAAATAAATTTAAAAAAGAAAGTATCCTAGGGGTATCAAGAAAACAAAAATTTTACTTTCATAGCAAATCTAGAAAAAGTTAAAAACCCAATAAGTATTCCGTGTGTGAGTTTATAATAAATAATACAATTGAAATAAAAACAAATTCAAATGAGATGGAAATTAAATAAATATTTCTTGAATGGCATCTCAAAATTTGAATCATCTTATATTAATCGCATTTTTAATATGTAATTTAATATGATATACATTTTGCTATAAATGTCTTCTACTTCTAAACTTAACAGCGTTTCTGAAATCTAAAAAAGGATTATAATATAACCCAACAGGCTAATATAACATACTTTTAATAAATTTATATCATTTTAGAAATACCTTAATAAGTTATATTTTGTATTAAAAAAAGATAATTATAAAAACTGTTTGAATAAAAATTTTTTTAAGAAATTTTGTTAATTTATTCACATTTTACAGATTACGAACAGTGGAAAAATAAAGAGGTTTGAAAGAGTATACAACGGAAAGAGATTTGAAACGAATATTTTTTCTACGACTGTGATTCCCTTAAATTTCTGGTAATTCTACTGGCCGAAATGGGAAAGGCGGGGGATTATTCGACCCAAAAATAAAAAATAGCATTCGTGCGTTTCAATAAATGTTCTAAATGTATTACATAGTAACAAGCATTCATCCTTCTCAAACAAATTAAAAAATGTGTATTTGCCATATAAACTCAAAAAATATATTATTACAATGCAATGAAATATATTGGGGCATAACTCCCATTTTCAAGAGGTTCTCTTAAATATTCGTTCCTTAATGAAATATTTGAAGCCGCTTTTCCTATGAATAAAATCGAAAAATTTAAAAAAAAATTAATTTTATTGAATACTTAGTTTGATAATTAAATGTGTGTAAGGGACTTTTGAAGTTCAGAGAAATATTACACGCATATTAATCTTTGAAAATATTTTAAATACTGATTAATTATAATAAAATTTGATAAAAGTAATCCGAAGAACTCACTATAGTACTTATTCAGTATTTTAAGGAAATCATATTTTCATGTTTATTCAAAGAATAGTCTAATGGTTTCACTCATTAAATAAATGAATAATTCTTTCAAACCATTGCTTACAACAATTTTATTGCTTTTCAAAAAGAAATGAAACAAAAAATTAAAAATTATTTTCAAGCTGATTTTATTTTTCTCTTCCATGTCCTTGTATAATTATTTTCTATAGACATGTATAGGGTTTAGGATCGATATCCATCTGCTCAGGGCTATGTAAGTATATATTTCCTTAATTCTTCCACAATTAAACGCCTGCTATTATTAGTTTTGTTAGTTTTAGCAGAAAAAAACCATTCAAAATTAATTTTACCTAATAAAAGACTTTTTCATTTCAGTCTAGAAAACAAAAAGCAATTCTAATTCCACCTGATTCATTGTTCAGCAACTAAATGGATAAAATGTCGTTTCCTTTGTAATTAAAATACTTAGAATTGAACGATAAACAAGAAGAACGAGTAACTTGCGTCTCTTAATTTAATCAAATTCTGAACTTAAATCCCGATTTCTCGCAGACAGTATTATATTCCTGTATAGTTACCGGAATTACATCTTCAGCTCGGAACTGTGAACAAATTCTTAATAGGCTTTCAGCAATCGAGCTTTAACATTGGATAGTCTTAAATCAATTCATTTGCAGCTTGTCAGGAGAAGAAACGTCTCGAAATTAGCACGCACAACTGGGAACTAATCAAGTGTCAAGACATTAGCAAGTGTGGAAGCGCTATTCATTGCCGATGAATTGCTGGAAATCTATTAAATGAGGATGATACGCGCCCCCATTTTCACACATTTAAAAGCACTTGTTCTCACGAATTTCGCGTGGGATAAATTGCTTCGAGACTGTTCCGGGACTTCGAAAGGCAGTTTGAATGCTTGTTTAAGGAAGAAAATTCTTAAGTCGAAAGAGCAATCTAAATTATACGTTTAAAATCATGAAAAGCAAAGCGGTTGATTATTTGAAACTTATATGCGAGAATTGTTCAAATGTAATTTATTGGAATTCGTATATATAATGAAATAATGTTAATTTCTGCATGAGTGTTGTTTTCAAATCTTCGAAATGGTTGTCACAAATATTTGAAGTTTATTTTTGCTGCGAAGCTACAAACTTGGTCCAGATCACTGTACTTCTCCAGAGTACGTGTGGATGTGCCTTGAAGCAGCCCTTCAAGAATTAAGTGAATTATTATTATTTTTTTATTTAGAAATCGAGGTTCATAACTCATTACTTATTCCCATTTAACCGTAATGTATTGTGAGAAGTTAGATAAAAATAGTTAAGTTTTACAATGTTTATTGTTTTGTGCTCTCACGACATTAATACAAACAAGTAATATAAAAAAAATTAAGTCAATTCCTACTTAAGTCAACAAAGACAGTTTTTTAATTTAGTTACTTTTTATTAAATAGTTACAATTAATATAAATATGTATATACGTATGACAGAATCACGCTATTAAGTGAAAAAATAGAAAGTGGTTTTCGTTGCAATTTTTTCCATTCTATATACGGTGTTGGACTATTTTTTGTTTGCTTGTTACTATTTATTCATTAATCAAATTCAATTATTCTAATAAAATAAAAATCACATTTTCAGAAACTAGGCCATCCCAGGTGGGATTTGAACCCATGACCTTTGGATTCTACGTCCAACACGCTATCCATTGTGCTACAGGGATACTACGAATGATTTTACTTTCCATATATGCTGTTGGACTATTATTTTTGTTAATCTCCATTCATTTTTGAATTTAATTAATCAATAAATATGCGAAAAAACTGTATTAACAACAAGTGTCATTCACTACAAGTTTTAAAAAATGTCATTGAACTTGAATGGATAAATAGAAAGTATTTTATTAACGATTGAAAATTTGAACTTGATATATATATACTCATATGTCCTTCATTGTGTGATTTTCCTACTACCTATGTGTTTTCGAATGTGATTATTTGGACGTTATCTCTTCTTTGTAGAGAATAAACCTATATATATATATATAAACTGCTGTTTGTAAACAAAACTGTTAAACAAAAAAAACTTTTTGCATATCTCAGCTAAAAAAAAAAACAAACTTTTGTTGAATTTTAAGTCTGTAGATCTAATACCTGAAAAAAAGGATTTTTTTAAATTTATAACTCCCCGTAACTCTCTTGAGGGTCGATTTTTGAAAATACCTTCCTAAGCTGATCTCTGCTCATCAAAGGTAACACATTGTTACAAATTTTGTGTAATGAACGCTTAAAATAGTGTAAATAATTTATATCTGAAAGTGTAACACGTTAATATGACTTTTTGTTGTATTTATTTTATGTTAAAATTGTAATCAGCCTCACACTCCACATGTTCAAGCTTTCGTAGTTCCTGGCATCTGGCGTAGACAAAAAAAAAAAGGAAGGCCTTGCTTCATACAAAAAAAGATAGATATGTACTGTCACGGGCTTTTTTGCAGATGGTAGAATTTTTTTCTACTTACTTGACAATTATCGTTATAGGTTTACGACAACACAGGGGAGAAATTTTAAGAAAAAAAACGCCGATATTTATTTCAATGGGTTTTAACTCTGAAAATGATGTGAATTTTTCCAAAATCGTAGTTGAGCTTCTGTACAGAGGTCTGAGTTATATACAGGCAAAATATTATTATAATAGAATCATTTTTGACAAAAGGAGAACATTTTGAAGAAAGTCTATTCTAAGTTAATTGTTTGCCGAAATATTGTATTTAAATAATTGTTCTTGTCAAAAATTGTCCTTAAAACAATTTTGTACATGTATTCTAATCTAAGTGACACTAAATATCATGATAATTATCCATTTATGCGCATTTTTAAAATCACGGTTCCGAACGTAGTCGGATACCTTAACTTCTAAATGAAAAAAAAAAAACGAGCTTACAGTAGTCGCATATGATGTGTAACATTTGACATGTATCGTGGTAAATACGCAGTAGTAACTTAAATCCTGAAAAAAATGAATCAAGTATGATTGGAAATAGTTTTCTATCGAATAATTGTATCTTTAATGAAATTTTTTTTTATTTAGCACAAGAAGTAATGCAATTTTTTATCAAAAATATTTGTTCTTGTTTAATTTGGGGAAGAGGGAATACAATAGACTTGAAAATGGACAAACAGAGATTTCGGTGGCCATATACATTTATCCGAATCAGACGGTTAAAAAATTAAAGATTTCCTGCATTTTGTACATTTACTACAAACCGAAAATGTGTTTTTTTGTGTGTGTGTTGTGTGGTTCTGCTCTTTCAAAAACAAACTATCACTCGCTTCCCATGATTTTGAGTGTGATTGAATGGAGTATGATTGAATTGAGTTTTGAATCGAGTATGATTGGAAATAATTTTCTATCGAATAATTATAACTTTAATGAAAATTTTATTTAGGAGTAATGTAATTTTTTATCAAAAATATTTATTCTTGTTGCATTTTGGGAAGAGTGGATACAATAGACTTATGATAAGTAAAATATGACACATATACTTGTGATTTCAAAGTATTTAAAAACCATTGAAAAATAGCCTCAATAACAGTACCACTGTTAGTTGTCGAAATATTTCGATTTGTATTCATTTCTAGCTTTAGTTCATCAGTCAAAAAAGTTCTGAGCGACTCAACTTCTGGCAAACTGAAGTTAACGTTGAAATCACTGCTCAAAATCACGGAAAGCGAGTGATCGTTTGTTTTTAAAAGAGCTGAACCACACACACACACACACACACACACACACACACACACACACACACACACACACACACACACACACACACACACACACACACACACACACACACACACACACACACACACACACACACACACACACACACACACACACACACACACACACACACACACACACACACACACACACACACACACACACACTCACACACACACACATCTCTCTCGGTATACGGTAAAGTACAAAATGCAAGAAATCTTTAATTTTTTGAACCATTTGATTCGGAGAAATGTATACAGCCACCGAAATCACTGTTTGTCCATTTTCAAATATGCATTCTGCCACACATATGTCCCCAATATCTTGACTAGCAATACCCAGTCCACTTGTTTGAAGATAAATAATGTCCATGTGAGGAGTCACAACGTGTGAATTGTTCTGTTTGCTATTGACACACACAGGACAGGAATTAATCTCAAAGTATGAAAAAGATACACACTAAAATATTTATTCATATAATTTCGTGTTACTTACTCGTATATTCTTAAGAATGTTGAACTTTTTCAGACACCTTACAGTAAATATAATTATTAATATAGTTTACGCATATAATTTAACCTCAGATTTCTTACACAACAAGTCCTGAGACTTTGACAATTGAGCGTAAAGATCGTAAGTTTATCCTAAATAAGAATTCGAATATTTTGAAATGCTCTTTAACAAAAAAACAAAAACAAAAAACAATAACAACTACCTACTGGAGTTGGACTCGATGCGAGGGTAACGAAGAGACATCATCATGCGCGCTCATTGGTCAAATCAAATAGCGCGCGCTTACGTCACTTCCTTTTACCCACTTCCATGCCTTTGACGAAATCACTCTAACAAAATTCGGCAATCGAGAGGAAAGATGGAACACATAAAAAAAAAAAAATAGAAAACTTACAAAAATTATTCTGTATTCACATCCTTTTCGAAGGAATTTGTTTTATTTTCAAATGATAAAACACCATTAAGTTTACGTTTTCATGTTAGATGTGTGTGTGAACACACACACACAATTTTCATATCGCGAAATCAGGGGTATAATATGTGACTTCTATTTGACACATGACTCTGAGCGTTCAAGGTGAAACAATTTCTTTGCGGAGGACTCGAAATATTTTCATATAACGGAAGATTTTTTTATTTAGATGTGGATCAAAAAGTGGAAGGTACACTACATGTGATTTTTCTCTTCAAACAATTAAATCTCTCCAGAAATGACATTCAACAGTTTACAGAATAACTATAAATTTATCTTAAGTTAACTTCCAATTTTTTTTTTTGTAATTCCGTGCATGTCCATAATTCTGAAGATGTTTGTCAAATAAGGTACATTACAAATCTATCAACTTCCATCCACTCAAAAACTGACAAATTTGTAGAGTAGTGCAGAGTGCCACTGAAAATTGTACCCCGTGCCACATGTGGCACGAGGGCCATAGATTGCCGACCCCTGCTCTATATCAAGAGAAAAATGAAAAAGAAAATTATAATGATCCATTACTATGCTTCTTTTAAGATAAACTAAAGGTAACAGCTTCATAACTTTTTAACTTGACAAAACTTTTTAAATTTCATAAGCAGTTTACACATCAATTACGACTTTTAATTTCGTACGGTTGAGTTCTGAAATAAATGAGATGATAAAATGTTTCTTTCCGCAATCACAACACATTTTACACTTTTAATATTTTTCTCCACAAACTGAGCCTGAAAACAAAAAATTCATTTCGTCAAAATATCACCGTTTAGGCAGACAAAATGCACCCTTGAAATCGTAATGATTACTAAAATAAAAAGGCAAGAATACATTTTTAAAAGGGAGAAACGAGAATTTCAAAAGTGAAAAAGAAAGAAATTTCATTTCAAAATTATAAATAAAAAGAAATTTCACTGCCCAAACCATTTAGTTGAAAAAAAAATATCTAAATAAAGAAAATGAAAGATGTGGCACGCATTCATAGTATTTCAAAGGAAATGTCCTTCCATATATTTAAAGAGAGTGAACAAGGTGGAAAAGATTCAGGTTTAGAAATTTTATTCAGCAGTTCTGAAAAAGCAAAATTAAATGAATTTTTCTGAGGAAGTGGTTCTTTCATTTCAAACAAATATTATGTAATAGAGTCAGTTTTATTTATATATTAATTTACCTTTTTTTTCTAGAGATAAAGTTATAAGTTGCTTATATGATATATGAATTTAAATACATCAAATAAAGCTAACTCATAAAAATTTGAAAATAAATTCCTTTTTTCGGGAATGATGTTTTATCATAATTTACTGTGCATTTAAAATATTTGTTAAGCCTAATACATGACGGTCCAGTCTAATATATAAAAAGGATCAAAAGCTTTAAAATAATCAAATAAAAATTATTTTGCTTTGTACTATATTATTATAAAAATGCATGTATATGTTACCGTTAAAGTGTGAAATCCGTTATTTAATAGAATAAATAGGTATTTCTTGAAATAACTAGATATAAGTCAGTTAAAGCATATAAAATTATTGAATTCTACGGTTTAACTAGGCATTCTAGAGAATAACAATTACTTAAACATCAAAGTATGAAATACAGCACTCAAAAGTTTTTGAACTGGTTATAACTGCTTTTAGTCAATTTTGAGCTACTTATATCTGTTGGCTCGAGTGAAAAAAAAATGTGTAATAATAAAAAGTGTGCTTGTTTCAAAAATAATATCCAATGTAATTCAAAGTGTCATCACAGCAATTCTAGCTCTAATAAATAATGAAAAGTAAAGTAAAGGTATTTCATGAAATTTAAATTAATACTTTGTTTGTAACATTTTGTTTGAAAAAGTTTACGCACACAATGTTCTTATGAAGCAAAAGTCTTTTTTTTCCCGGCAAGTACTTTTTGACAATAATTAAATATAACAATTTCTGCAACATATCCTTTTTTTCCTTTTG